TTAATTAGAAGAAAACAGCTCGGTAGACCTAATTTTCACCTAAAACTATTCAGTATCATTATCAACTAATGTCTGTCCAACAGTTTTTGAATTTTTAAAATCGATTCGGTAGTATGAGCTTAAATGTGGACGAAAAGTTTAACATTTTTTTCCAAATTACAAAAAAACGGCTCGGCAGATCGTCGCACAAAACTGAGAAACGATAATCCTCATCGAGATACATCGAAAGGCTTTTAAACTTTTAAAATCGGTCCAGCCGCTTTTGAGAACACATCGATTTACGACAAAAAATCTGATCACATACACACATACTTTTTCCAAATTTGGTCGCATTCGATTCAGAATGGCTTGAAACGTCGAGAAACATAAAATTAGCAAAATCGGATTTTTTGATGAAAACAAACTTCTCCTTCGGGAAGCCAACACGATTTTTAAATTTTCAAATTGCTTTAGTGTTTTTGTGTATTTCATACATATTATATGATATATATTGACTTAGAAGACAGCGCCCTAAAATTAGAGCTTACCTTAACATTTCCTGCAATTTTACTATCTTGTGGTCCCCTCAACACCTGTTGTTTTTTTTTTAATGGCGCATTATCACCTGTTGTACTATCTTGTGGTCCCCCTCAACACCTGTTTTTTTTTTTAATGGCGCATTATCTCTGTTGACCTGAGTCGAGTGTTACGCAAGAGGCTCTTCTTGCGTATATGACAGCACATTTATTTATAATCCCAGCTGAAATCTATTCTGGGCATCTAGTCTACAATATTAAAAATAGAGCTGATAAGTAACGTTTGCATTTCTCCGTTAAAGATAAATCTTCACAGCATGCAGCTTTGAGAGTAAATATAAACTATAAATAAAAAAACGACGGGCGCAAACTTTAAAGTTTCCGCTTCTATAAGCACACAAATAATAGCAAGAAAAATTAATACTATAATATTATTATTGCACATTATGCATTAAACAATTATTTTCATATACAACTGATGGTCTTTTCCGTTGGTGAGGAAATATTCGATTTTTTTAATATATAAATGTGAGCTTTTATTTGATGGACAAACTCTGATTGAAAGGCGCGATAGACAATGCAATACATTTTCTCAAAATATTGTGGACGATAAAATGTGTAAAAAATTCACATTTTTTAATCATTTAGTTATTTTTTATATTTAATTAAATAATAAAAATTAATATAATAATCTAATATTTATGAATACCTTTTCAATTCGTCGCTATTTCATCCACATTCCATCCTAGATTTTGTACATCAATAGCTCTACCGGAAATGTCCATTTCAGTATAGCAAAATTAAATTGATTAATGTTGTCCACTGCTACCCTGCCAATCAAAATAAAATACTATATCAAATTTTTTTTTTTACAGAAAAACAAACACGATCCATAACTCACAATTGATACGATGACCTGAGTATCTGCGTGAAGCTGGATCATAAAAAGTTAATTTCTTGGCTGAAACGTGCTGCGCCAGAAGTTGGTCTGACCAACCAATTTTCGGACCACCATGATTCAACAACTTATTTATTAATATATCGATGAAAGCAACTATCAAGCATTAAATTTCATAATGTAGATAAAATTTGTAAAATATAATAGACAATAAACTTATATATGCTAGTACTGAAAAACATTTGTTAACTCATTTGTTTGTATTAGGTCTTCATCATGATATCTTCAGGTAAGCGAAGCTGCAATTAAAACAAGTTTTATAATCATTATGATATCAATTCAAAACTTTAAATATGGTATGCTTACCTAATAAGTCGCACTTTTTGTTTAAAAAAAACTTTTTAACAAAACAACACGTTAAATATTTATGGAGTAACAGCTACAATTTTATTTTTCGTAAAAAATCACAATTAAATAACCAAATAGAATTCAAGATTTGGAATTCAAAAAACCGGTTGGATTTTTGCTGTTGTTAAAATTCCACCAGTACATTTGCAAGAGAAGTTTCGTAAACTTGCATTCCATTGAAAGTAGAAGAATAAAATGCGTAATAAGTTAGAGGAAAGAACAATAAATTAATGAATATAAAAAAATAATAAATTAGACGAAAAAATAACCTTCTAAATCCTCTCGCCATAAAGTCTACTGAAAAAAATGTTAGTAAATTACACAATTTAATAAAATTTATTTAGTATTGTATTCAAGACACAATGGATATTCAATAACAATAAAAACAATTATCATAAATAAAACAAATTATAAATTCTATAAAAAATTCGTTTTCTGGTGACGTTGGCAGTATTTTTGTAATAATGTCTATACATATTGTTTATAATACACACTACATCTTCATAAATCAGCTTATCTATCTACAGCACAAATAAATGGAATACAAAACATTTAATGTACTTAATATTAATTATTTATATACCTTTACTGTATATGCACACATCTCATTAAATCATTATTTAGACTAGTATCTTTAAATTTAAGCTAAGATGTCTTGAACATAAATAAAATATATAATACAATAAATAGCTAGCCTTCATCTAAATTATTAATTCCAGGTACAGATTGAATAACGTAGTCCAAGCACATCAAAGTTTCCATGTGTCGAAAAATCTCATATCTTATTAGTCAATATGCATACTTATAAAATTGAAAAGGGTAGCAGTATTAAGTATCATATATTTGACCTATGTGAAGCGCGATTTTTAAAATACTCTATCAATTTTCACCTATATTATTTACTACTGTAATTCCAGTTACATTAGTGCCTGGGTCCAATTCTTTGCTGATTTATGACTTGTCAACTCACAAAACTCTTAATTTTGCATGTACGATGGCAGTGTTTTGAATGGCAAAATCACTTAAAATAAAATCATTATTTCATCAACTTACAATAAATGTATTAAATGAGAAGAAATTTCATAATTAACTATTATTTCAGTAATTACGAAATAAATTTATTCAAGTCCGCAGAATTCTGTATTTATCTGCATTACACACACACACACATATATATATATATATATATATATATATATATATAACACATGTATATGCATAAAAAGTTATTATTCCAACAAATACATTATCATTTGAAAGGCGCAGGTTATTCTGGCAGTGATTCAGAATCCTTTTGATTCATGTTTAAACGATGAATAAGCAGTTTGTGAATGATATGCTTGCATTTTTCCAAATAATTAACAAAAAGTGTAGAAAAACGCGCTAAAAAATAAACATTAATTCGATGCATGTACTATCTAGATAAAATCATGTATAGAAAATTGTTTTTTTGTTTATTAGAAAAATTAGAGTTTCTTGTAATACTGTACTGTTAACTTGATTGTTACTGAAAAAGTACAACCATCATTAATATTCAAGATGAATTGTAAATATTGCAATGCTAAACAAAAATGACACAATTAAAATCAAGCAAATCATCCAAGTGCAACCATTTCATTACCATGAGTATTTTTTTATGTAAGATAACACATCTGATTATTGATCAGCCACTTATACTTGTACTGTTTTTCAAATGCAAATAATGCTCAAAACTATTAGAACAATAAATTATCATAATATCGATCCATAATTCTGATGTTCAACTTACTTGATCTTTACATTACTTGTCAATCAAAAATATTCCTTTAGTCTAATATTTTAATACGTCCTCTTTATATTCTTAGTCATAATTGAGTGTGTGTATTTCATCTGGTTATACCATAAATTTTATCTATTTCTTAATGTTTGTATATTTTAAACAGACAGTAACAAGTGATTTCAGCTTCCAAGTCAACAAAATAATGCATGGCAAATATGAACATTGAAAGTAGATCATTATTCATAATTGTGAGATAAATATTAATCGTTATTTCATTATCATTTACCTTCACTTCATGGTTGCTTTTTAATCACTTTGCGACTACCATAGGTTACAAACACTGACAAAAGGTCATCCAGCCTCTGAATGCCTAGGAATAGTTTCTCCAACAGTTTTTCAATAAAACCTTATAAAAATAAAATTTAAAAGAGTTTGTAAATAATAAAATAAATTCATCAATCTTAAAAATATCAATTAACAGAAATAACAATACATTAAAATTTCACAAAAAATATCAGAAATAAGTAAATAATTTTTTTTCTAATATTTCATTAAATCATGATAAATATTATCAAATTTTGATAATAAATCGCAACATTAATTTTAAGTTTAAAATATCAAGAATAATGCTACTAATTCATATATTGTGGAGATTTCACATAATAAACCAAACATTTTCTTTGTTTAATTTGAATTAAATATGAAATTCTCTAATTAAATTATTCTTGATTGGCAGATAATACTACCACACGCAAAACGTGAATCCAGTTCCTTCTAGCATGCAATGTTTGTAATATTCAGGTTCTTTTTGTAATCACTGATTTAATATGACTAAAACACTAATTATCTCTAAACATAGAAAACCATTCAAATCAGTCAATATTTCAGAATGACAGTGCCAACAAGTCTTTTGTATTACGAATATTAATAGCAGAAAATATCTGCTATTTGTATTCAATAAACTTCGGCGATTAGTAGCCCTTGTCCATTTCCACAAATATATTGTATAAAAGAGTGCATGATAGAAACAGCTAACAATGAACAGATTAATTGCAAATAAATATTATTAATTTCTGTTAGCTGTTACCATCAAGTTGGAAATATTATTCATAAGCAATTATTAGATTTCGCGCTATGCAAAAATTTGTCAGATCAACGACATAATTTTGCAAGAAAACTAAGAACAAAGTTGCCTTAAAAGAAACACCTTAAAAGATGTGACATTCAACACAACATACAATCTTTCAGTGCAAACAGGAACCACATAATCAATATATACCAGTACATGTATATGAGCTGGCACATATAATAAAACAATATAAGAATTATAGCGAGCATATTAAAAAGCCAACTACTAATTCATAATTGTTCTATGTAAATATGCCAGCTATTAGGCCATTATTAAAACCTAAGGGCACCATTAAGGTCCATCATCCCAAGAAGAAGGCCTAGCCCAGCCTTTGCCTTTTGGTCTAAATCTGCGATTTTCTTCGGTGTGACCATCTCCATATCCATCTGATCCAATAGGTCTCTCAGCATTCCACAACTCGCGTTCTCGCTCAGGACATAAAGGACCGCCGTTCCACTCCTCCCGCCTTTGATGCTGCCGAAACCTCTTCTTGAAATGGTGATCATGTTGCATATCTCCACTCACAGAAGAAGACTTTTTGTCAGAATCTAGTAGCTGGGAATGTTGTTGGCTATGGTGGCTGCCACTGCTGTGATGTCTCTGGTATCTTTTTAAATTACAAATTCGATTCAATTTAAGGATAAATACAAATAAATCATACAAAAAAAATTATTGAGAAAATTGATAATACAAAATTGGATTGTTAATTATGTTCTTGATTGATTTATTTGTTTTAAAATCAAATTATTAATAATCCTTTCAATGTTAATGAATGTACTTTTCCAGCCACATTGATTTTTGTTTTTAAAATACATAGTTCCTATTAAAAGGAAGAAATATTTTATACATACCTTAGAGGAATGGAATCACTTCGCTTATTGGCAGCATTTTGCGCAGGAGGCGGACTGTAAGAAGGACTAGGCGTGCGAGGGGGTCCTAACATCATCATTTGATGATGATACTGCTGATGGTGTAATGAAGGTGTATTATCATCTATCGCTAGAGGACTGTCCGACCTCCGTGGAAGTGGCGTTTTAAAAATACGCGAAGAAACAGACTGGCTGTGCTGACGATTGTGAGAGGGCAATGTTGGCTCACCATGGCCTGTAGAAAACACATTACACAATCAGAGCATTTATTTGACTTTTTTTTCACTTATATTCACACCGTTGTTATAAAAAATCTTAAATAATTTTTATATCAATCTATTACATAAATCAATCTATTATTAAATGATAGATTCATTGATTATGCATAATATAAAGCTAACACATTTGAAACTAAAAAGCATACACACTAACCTATACCACTATCAGGAGAAGTATCTGCAGCAGGTGTAATATCATCGCTAATCCCATGATGACTATTTGCTGAAAGTGCTTCTGCTCCACTCACAACCTCTTCACTAGATCTTCGCCTTTTGTCTAATTCTGTGGATGCAAATGCTACCAATCTATCGAATCCAGATGATATTCGAGCGCGCCACTTTGTGTCTGATCCCGAAGGAATATCATCTGTAAGATCCATATCTACAAGTAAAAGTTTAATATTAATAAATAATTATATTAATAAATTAAAATATGTTATGTAGCAATAATAAAATTTGGCACATAATTATGTTATAATATATAACAATAATTATAATTATATAAATAAAAAAGCAATTTATTGAAGCCATGTACCTTCATCATTGAGTCTATGCCTAGAAGAAACACTTCCGCTATCATCCATTCTCAGAGATGATAATGAATTAGAATCATCATGATCAAGGGATATTGATTGCTGTAAAATGAAGTAAAAGTGCATAATTATATTAAAAGAATACCATAAAATATAAAGAAAAAGACACATAGAACCTAGCTTATGATAAAACAATTTTCGTAAGCAACAATTTAACTAAATATTCTTAGTTGTTCCAATTTAACAATGAATAACATCTTAAAATTATTTCTCACCTGTGGAGCACTGTTGGTTTCAGGTGCGACATAAGGACGTTTGTGCATTGTAGGCTGCTGTTCTCGAGATGAAGATCTTTTATGCCCAGATGAGTGAACATGAGTATTATTAAGAATTCCAGAATTATTAGAACCGCGTTGTTCATTAAACACAATGTTAGTGTTTCCACTTGAACTCATTACATTAGAAGTACTGTTTGTGGAGGCAGATGTAGCTTCCAAACGTCTTTGTCTGAAATATTATTTTAAATAATACATAAATATAGGTAAAAATGACATAAGAAATAATCAACAATTTTGATGTTCCTCTAAGTCCACTAAGAAACAACTGAAAACACAACAAACCTTTGTTCATGTTCCTCTTTAATTTTCAGCGAGGCTATGACCCTTGCTTGTAAGCTTGCTGCCAATCCTTCTAATGGTTTACTATTCCCTTTATCTGCAGGCCCGCTGCTAGCAGCCGTATTCTGAGTATCTGCAAAGTATGACTCTCTACAAGTAGGTGCTTCTCCACGTGGTAGAGGCGTGTAATTCTTTCCTGCAGCCACAACTGCTGCTGCATCCTGCTGGGCTTGCATAGAGTGTTTATGAGCGGCCTGAGCAAGTGTGGATAAATTGCTTTGTGGTTGGTGGTGCTGCTGCGGATCAGGTGATTGAGTTTCGTTGGCACTTAATCGGTCCAAGCGGTTTGAAATACTGCTGGATGTTGATGAACTACCTGTTACCATGCCTGCAAAAGAAATGAAAAACAGCATTGGTAAAAAAGTTTTAAAATAATAAGTATTATGACAAGACATTTTGTCTTGCTCCATTATTTATTATTCATTTATTTTAATTTCATGCAAAAATTAAATGATAAATTCAACCCTTAGTTGGCTACTCACCATTAACTGCAGCATTAATGATACTCTGTTTGGATATTTCCAATGTCCTTTCAATCTCGCCATTCACTAGATCTCCTATAGTTCGAACGCTTGTTGAAGAATTATGTGATAGTTTTTCCTGTGACAGGTGCCTCCTAAGTGCTAATTTGGCTGGAGACACTTGTGTGTAATCAGGCTGGTTGTGAGGAACGCTTAATCTGCCATCGGCGTTTCTAAACAGAGAGGGTTCCTGTTTCAGCAAGTGCTCTGCGCGACCGTCGTGGATCCGTGGTTGATTTTCATTGTATCGGTAGGTCTCAAGCTGCGGTGATTTGAAATCACGTTTTTCATCTCTACTCTGATTATATATCTGAGATTGATAGTTTTGATGATGACCTAGAAGTAATTAAATTTGTTATGTTACAGTTATTGAAAATAAAGCAAAATAATTCCCTTGGAAGCTCATTATAAATATGCAATCAAAGAAGAGAAGTGAACAACAAGATTCAGTATGAAATCAAAGTATGAGACAAAAATATTAAGCAATTCTTACTTGTATTATAATAACCTTGTGTTACTTGCTGAGCTTTCCTTTGTTCTTGATCTTCATTCAGCACAGAGGTTATAATAGATTTCAAACGATCCTCAAAGTTTATAACTTTGGGACTTTCTTGGGGTTTATTTTTGACCACATTAACATGATTTGTATTATTTTGATTAACACTTCTAACTACATTTTGCTTAACTACAGAACTGCTGTTATTACTAACTGTTCTAATTTTATCATTTCTATCACGACTGCTTTTTGAATAACTATTCACTGACAGTTTAGCATCACCATTTATATAATTATTCTTAGCTAATTTTCCGGCTTCGATTTGTCTTCCTGTCTCAAGTATTTTTTGAGCTAATATTTCTGGATTATTTTCTTCTATTTTGCCTTTAGATAAAAATAGAATAGTTTATAAAAAATAAGGACAAATCATTTATAACAAACATAATTAAGTAATTTTATAAAACAACCAGTGAAAAATTATTTTGCATACCTATATCTGGAACATCAGGCCACTCCTGTGATCTGGATCTATTTTCCCGATGCTTCCGTGAAGGTTTTTGTGCCTTGTTTGAGATCACCATTGAAACATTTTGTTGATGTGCAATATTTTGTTGTTGCTGTTGTTTATGTTGTATTAACAGCTTCTTTTCTTCTTCAGCCTTTTCTAATTGAACTATTTCGTCCTCAAGACGGTAAACCTTTAAAAAAAATTAAATTTTAATTATAGACAATTACATAGTTATAAGATTGACCATGTGATTATGAAATAACAAAAAAGTAAATTACCTGCATGCGCAATTTTTTCCTATGCGACATAGTAGCACAAATCTCTCTCAAAATACATTCTTGTGACACGGCATCCGGTACAGATTCTTGAGCATTTGCTGCTGATTGTTGTCCAGCTTGTTCAGATGAACCACTGTAACGAAATTTGCCAATGACCTCTGGCAGTCGGAGATTTACTAAGCGTTTCTGTTCTTCTTCAATTTCATTTACCTATGAATAAAAAGATATTTCTGGTAGCGGCAAAAAGCTTCTTAAAAACCATCATCAATGAATTAAAACACATAAAAAACAATATAATTTATCAAGGTTAGAGAATAATAACTTCATTACCTCAAATAGATTTAAAACATTAAAACAAAATATTTTAGCTCTAAATTTTCAAAACAAACGTCTTATTTACCTGCATCTGCAGCTTGCTAGCTCGGCCTTGCAACTCTTTATGTCTACCTACAATTTCCTTAGCTTTGCTGAGAAGATCAGCTGGTGAACTAGCTTCTATACCAAGTTCTCCCATTCGTGCTCGTAAGAGTAATACTGAGTCATCGATAAGAACGCGAATTTGCTTCTCCAACTGAGCCGCTCTAGAAATTAGCCGCTGATTTCGTTCCTGTGAAATAAGTATCAGAATGTAATCAAATGCATGCAAATTTGTTTGCAAGTAAATATTAAAAATATTGACTGAGTGATTACCTTTTCCTGTCCAATTTGCTTGTTGATACTTTCTTTATAACCTGGCCCTCTCATCTGATCCAACACTCTAGTGAATTGTTCTCTGTAAAGATCCAGTAAAATCTGCAGAGCATATGGTGTATCTCTTGGTCTTGCAGGAATTTCAAGCTCTTCATGAGAAACATTTGACACTTGACTTGCAGCTTGTGATAATGATGTTAGACGCTGATCCACACAGCCTCGACCAGGAGACATTTTCATAGTTGCTGGAGAAAACATAAAATAATATTTAAAAAATCTCTAATAAAATAATGTTTAAAATACTAATTTCTTGTGGAAAAAATTAAAAATCTAAAGCTACCTTGTGGAGAAGTACTGGATAAAGTCTTGCTATGCAGTAAGTCAAGACCTTGTATTTTCAATGGTCGTTTAGTCTTTGTCTTGCGTACTCTTCCTCGTGCCGGACCTCTTTTAGCTGGTTTAGTTGAAGTACTATTTGTAGGCGAAGCTTTTATAGTAGTAGTAGTTGGACTATTGCGTGTAACTTTCCGCCTCATCTTTTTATTTGTTGCAGCCCTTTTAGGTCTACTTGATCCTACATATAATCATATAATCAATCAATGCAATTAAAATGTTCGCTGATAATGCTTTGCAAAATTAAGATAAAATATATTTTTATCTAAATAAAACGTAATAAAACATAATATGTAAAATAATATTACAAGTTAATAACATTTTAATACTACATTAGCTGATACTCACCATTAGTCTGTGAATTTTCATCGTCCGATTTATTTCCATAAAAATCAGTCCATGCTCGCCTAGTTGTTGGTCCTGCAATAAAAATATTGTGTAAGATAAATAATTGAATAAATGATAATATTTCAGATTTTATTATTTCATGATTATGAACAGTATTTATATGTAATCTTATTAAATATTCAAGTATTGCCATAAATAAATGACTTACAAAAACTTCATATATATTGAATAGTTAAGTTAAATACTCACGAGCTCCAGTAAAATCATTTGTATCATCATTCCAATCATCAGGCGATTTGCTGGCTCGATTATTTCTTCCGGTACGAGAAGTTTGGTTTGAAGCCAAATTTTCATTATTTTCATCAGTGCCCTGTAAAAACCATATAACATAAACCATTGATCGTCTTCAATGATTTCTTTTTAAATTTATTTAAAATTGATTATAAACCTTGGGATTTTTGAGTCTTTGAAAATATCTTTCCAACTTTGTTCTATCAATGATGTGCAAATAATAAGATACAGGTTTACCAGTCCATGACACTGAGCCTTTCAATGGTGACATTTCGCTAACATGCATAATAGTTCCTACAAATGAAATAGTAAAGTAAACCGAATTTTTTAAATGCAAAATGTTTAACAATAACAGGAAGCTTTTACACACCAATATCACTCAGATTTCGATCGGTTATCCTAAAATTTAGAGGACAAAAACTTTTAGATGACACTATCCTGGCTCCATCTCTAAGGTCTGCAAATCTCTCCTTTAATTGATGGTCAACGGTTGGTCCAAAAGCAAAATTATTTACGAAAATAATTGTAGCTGAATTTATTCGTTCTCGGAACTCATCTGTTAGAAAATCACCCTGCAAAAAAACAAACATGAATAGTAATATCACTGCAAATAAGATATAAGTATAAATGGACTTTTATAGACAACATTGATTTTTTTACCTTGATCAGCTGGTAGTCCCCGCAGCGTTTACCATACCACTTCATCCATCTTCTAAAACAAGAGTCCATTTCCTGGGCGTATCTTGACGGAACTTCTGCACGTTCTATACCGTAACACTTTTTGATCGCAGTTCCGGCTGATACTTGCAACACCACTTGCCCAACACCTGATCCGAGATCAACGAATACATCGTCCTGCAAACATTATAAAATGATATAAATATTACTTTATAAATAGAGATGATAATATCATATCAAGTGATTACAAATAAAAGTATTTAACAATTCAATGTCAATGTTAATAAATATTTGGATAGTAATGAAAACAATGAAGTTCAAAGTTTCACTTTCAGTATTTATATCACAAATTATTTTTATTTGTTATCAAAATCGTGAGCTTCAAGAAGAATAACTTTATTACTAATTATTCCGTACCTCTTTAATTTCTATTTGGTCTATCATCTGGCAGATTAGTTCATAGCTAGTTTCTCCATAGACTTCAGGAGAGAAAGGTTCATATTGGTTTAATTTGTCTGGATCAGACACAGCCTGATTGTACGTCTGCTGCAGTATGTGACGCAGGAGTTCGCGAGAGGGCGGCCTATTCAAACGCGCCAATGGCAGTGATGTACCTTTTTCCTATAAATAAAAATTATTTAGATAAGTTTTAATATCCTCGTATGAAAAAGTTGAATCTCCAAATATAAAAAGTGAATAAACCAGTTCTGTATTTACATAATATGTATTTATTTATTTTACTTTTATCTAGCAAATAATATTTTTATTATTATTATTACATTTCTTAATATTTTTTTGGATTGGTCAATAGCATCTGTTCCACTTCTAAAATGCCCTACGAATTTTATTTTTAATATATAAATAAAAATGAAATTAATTTCGTTTTCAAATAATGTTTGCAATTATTTTTATTACCTGCGTAATATCTTTCACGTGTATAACAGGTTTTAATTTAATTTTTATCACTAATAACCAGTAATATTGATAAAAATCTTATAACATATTTGCTGCCTCCGTTTTTATGAATGAAATTACTACTGATATTTTTATTCATGAGAAAATAATTAAATATTACAAAACATAATACAAAATATTAAAAAATCTATTGTTTCATTCATAATATATTGACAATATTGTGATTTTTTACCCAATTTTAAATAGAACCCATATTTACTCTAGTAAAGTTTTACGATGTACTAGATTGCATAATTTTATTTGTTGAAATCACATTTTTTATAGCTATTTGTACGTACAATAAAAACAAATGCATGCATCCTTGAACTCCTGAGGTGAAAGTTTTTGTTACTATTTGCTTGGTCTTTATTCTAAAATATACATGAAAAATAGAGGAAATTTTTACTATTCGTTTGAAGAAGATAAAAAAATTAAGTAAAGACCTCGATTAAAATCAGCACAATTTATCAGTAGAATTTTGGTGAGAACATCAACTTAAAAATGACTTGCTTTAGTTCTATAAGACGACAATATTGTTTAAGAAACTAGATTAAATCTAAAATATTTAATTATGGGTTTAATTATGTACAAATAATCCCGAAAATATTAACATATACTAAAATATATTTGATTCAAATTCAACTTTAGTCATTCGCGTTTCTCAGAACTTGAATGATCTTTAGAAGTCAATATCCGGTTTCTCATGTATCAAATGATTAATATTTAAAATGAAAAAAATATATGCATAAACGGTATTTAAATTATGTAATTACGAATACAATTACAAATGTTATGAAGAATCAAACTGGTATTTTTTAAATATAAATTATATGAATCATTTATAGTACCGTTATAAATTAAATAATACTTTTATAGTCATATTTTTAAAGATAAAATACGATTCAAATATTTATAATTTTCAAAATGCTTGCAGTAGCGTGTTGTATATAATTGTAAGTTTCAGAATAAAAAAATTGGGATAATAAGAATCTGAGAAACTACATATTTGTTTACAGAAGAAGGAAAATGCATTGACAAATGCCATCAAATTTACATGAATTTGTATCAAATCCAATTTGCAACAAAGCAATCGTACAAGTCGGAGGTTCCATTGATCTTTCATTTCAAAAAATCGATATCTGGTTTGGTGGGTGACCAACAATGAATTTAAGCGTAGAACACAAACGGGCGAAGGTCGACGACCCAGCGCTGTTTGTAACGTGCTAACGGCACGTGGCTCCAGCCAAGCAAAAGCCAACACAAATCTCAGTTGCCTCTGAATATTGAGAAAAAATAATATTTGCAGATAACGAATACTTTATCATAAAATAGTAAAGAAGGTAAATTTAGACATAGCAACGTTATTTTATATTTTTAATTCAATGTTTTTGGTATCACATTTAGATATACAAATTTGTATATAATTTTAGCGATGTTTTCTCCAAACTTCCTTGGAAGAAAACTGTATAGAATAATGAAAGGCAATAGTACTAAACTACTTATAAATCTTACTTAATTTTCCACACAGTTCTCTTGAACAGATGATAAAATTTTATGTTGAAAATGTTGAAAAAACTTGAAAATTTTTGTTAAAAATTAGTTCTCTATACATTATAGTTTTTATATTTAAAGAAAATAATAGGTGCTAGAACCAAATTAATTTAATGGGCTATCAAATTTAAAATTGATATCTTATATTCACCAAATTTGATCCTATAATAATTTCTGTATTTGTAATTCACGTCAAGTACTTGAAATGCAACTGAAATATGAAGAAATATTAAACAAAAAAATGATTAAGAAGAACATGAACGTTTTGCTAATATAAATATCTCAACACAGATCGACTTATCTCAATCTTCTATTTTTTCGATGAGCTCTCGTTTCAAATATCAGTTTTCAGATATTTTGTGGAAATTGCATAAATTATATTTAGATTTCCAAAATTATTAACATTACAAGCTTTTAGTATTATATTCAAGCTCAAAAATCTGAACTAAAATTATGTCAAAAATATTCAATAACTGAACGCCGGATAAAAAATGATTGAATCACTAAAATGGCTATAAAAAATAGGGGCTGGTGATAAAAAAGTAAAAATTTAGGGTTGTATGTATTTTTAATGCCAAATTATAAAATAATAAAAATAAAAACTTTCGGCCAAAAAATACAAAAAAAGTATTTAAGGCTGAAGGTTTCTACAAAAATAATGAACGTATTGAAGACATTTCTGTAATGCACCATCTAAATTTTCATACCACCAATTCCATTGCATTGGTGCGGCCCTGAGATGACGTTTGAGTTATATTTAGTAAGTGTAAATATAGTATGAACTAAAGTTAGTACACTATGCACTTAATTAGTAGTAGTAAAAATACTAGTTTCAAAATTCGTGAAGTAATCTCTATTTATACTCATTGTCAGTTTCGTAACAAAATTTCATCCCAATTTAAAATAAATAGAATAATTGAAATAATAAATTTAAACAAGTCTCAAAATTAGTTGAAAATGAGAAAAATGTGAATACTTCTGCGATTACTCGCATAACCATTTATGTGAGACAAACATCATTTTATTAGTTAACATTTAATAATTAATAATAATAATAATTAATATTGACTTTATTGAAAAAACTTTTTTAAATGTTGCTTCATATTACACCTCATTTTTAACGTTTTTATTATTTCAATTTTTAGCACATAATAAACTGAGTAGAATTGATTTCCATTTTAACCCTCTATGGCCGAATTTTTGTTTTACATAAAAAATAGAAAAACAAATAATCAGTAATTATTAGCATGTATATGAAAACTAAAAACAATTCCGTTTAAACTTTTTTTTTTTTTGGTATTAATGAATTTTGTGACTTAGGTCACAGCATCCTATAATGTTCGCATTTCTGTGTTTTAAAATGTTATTTCAGGATGAAAAACCTAGCAAAGGTCATATGTATTAATATTGGTTAAGTTGAGAATTTCATAAAGCAAAGAATTATGGAAAATTAAAATAATATAAAATTTAAATATCGAAATTTTTGATATGTGAATCACGTATATAGTCTTTCAAAAGTCACAGTCCTGATATATACACTATATGGTGGGTGATACATTAACAATAATAAAATGAAATTCTAAATTCCGGATTTAATATTAACGTTATCGTTACTATTAATTATAACACTACTTTTTGCCGAATGGTTAACACTACTTTTGATCTAGCACCAGTATTGAGTACGAAAAAGATGATATCACTTGAAGATTGTACTTGCAATATCGAAGAATATTATGTTAATAGAGATATATAAAAATTAATATGTTAGAAAATCATTGAATAGAACTAAAATTCCATAAACAAAAGGAGTTGGTATAAAAATAAAAATTGTTGTAAATGGTCTAAAATTCAGACCATACCCTTTGCAAGCTGTTAATAATATAATTATTATTGATAATTTTACTATATATTGTAATTTTGTATATATGTGGGAAAAAGATATGAATATAAATATATAAAATCCATTGGATGCAAATATAAACAATTTATTATTTACAAAATTTTATGATAAATAAAAATGACAAGTTCAATTGTTTTTCCACCATGTCTAGCCTGCTTGATTCCCCACATATATATTAATTGTTATCCATGATGTAAAATAATTGTAATTTTAAGTCCTCTTGAAAGAAATCTGTGGGCTATATATTTAAAAAAAATAAAATAAACTAGTGGGGTGGGTGGCATCGTGCCTTAAATTGCTGGAACTTCCCGTACCGTAACGAAATGTTCGAGGAATACTGAATGTTTTTAAAGATTATTATAAATATTGTAACATTGTCTAATATTTATAAGGATTATATAAACTGAATTGCAAAGTTGAAATTATTTGTTTAAAGTATATTAGAACTATAGTCAGAATTAAAAATAAAATCTGAATTATTTTCGATTTACAAAAAATTAAAAAAAAAAAAAATTGGGACAAAATTTTTTTTTCCAAAATCAATTATTTTGTTAAGACAAGCAGAAAGTTCTTTGAATCATTCAAATCGGACGCTTAGTTCTCTCAAAAACTGCCATTTTTCACATATTTAGCTCCGTATCTTCGAAATGGCTGGGCCTGCCTTTGCCAAAAACTAATAAACACTTCTCCCAATCATTACTAATTGAATGTTTTTTAGATTATTCAAATCGGATACTCCGTTCTCTCAAAAACTCGATTTCTATTTTCTGCACTCTTTGCTCTTTATCTCCGTAACTGCTGGACCTGCCTTTGCCAAAAACTAATCAGCTCTTTTCCCTATCGATAGGATTCAAATGCTTTTTGAACCATTCCAATCGGTTGATCCGTTCGCCCGGAAACGTGACTGGAAATTTGTATCCATACATACATACACATACACACACACATCCATTTTTTCTGAAATATGCCAAAATATTCAGAAACCTTCAAAATGTCGAGAAATGTAAAAATTTTCAATTCCGATTTTCGGCCCATTACAATAACTTATCCTACGGGAAGTTAAAAATAAATCAATAATTGTTAACAAAGATGATGATGAACTGAAATTTAGATTTTAATCAAATTAAACCTAATTAATACTAAAGAGAGCGATCAAATCACAGTAGCAGTATATTTTATAAAATAGAATTTCAATTAATATGTTAATAACACAACAGTTAAAAACATCATATAATATGTATACCCATTAAAAACCCATGTGTTAAACCGCGCTAGGCGACTAGTCATTTACCAAACGGATTCAAAAGAAAAGTAAATCTTGTTCCGACCATTGTTCATATGTTTTTCCATTTCGCTCACATATCGATCGTTTGCAACACAGATTCCTTCCTTATGCATCATATAAATAAAGGGCACGTTCGTAGTCAGTCAGCGATTCCCCCCTTTGCATCAGCGCTGTTATTTTTCACATGGCGGACAGCTAGAGATCTCGCCTGTTTAGAGAGAAGTAGAGAGCACCGTTATGCCGTGCGAACGCATGTGACGGATTACCACATATGATTGTCGGTGAAAACGTAATGTGATGGAGCGCGATAAAAGTCACAGAGAAATAGGAAAGACGAATGAAAAAAACCCAATGGCGAAATAATAGTTTCCCGGAAAAAGATGAGTGGCTGTAATTGGGATTTGGTTATACCTGGTCAGTGGTCACCAAATGTTTCAAGATAAACTAAATAGATACATATTTCCATAGATCTATTTATCTATTAGTATATTCATTTTTTCTTTGAGAAACCGCTCTACTCTTTCGTTCTGAATAAAAGTCAAAACTAGCTGTAAGTGGAATTCTGTCTTAAGGCAATTAAGGCATCGTGCCTTAAGGCAAATTGCTGGAACTTCCTGTACCAAAAATTATTATTTTTTTAAAAGCGATTAACATTATTGAAAAAATTTTACTTCGAAAAAATTAGATTTTTGAGAAACAAAAAAAAATTGTTTGAAAAAAAACGTTTTCTTTATTTTGGCATAGTTTGGAAATTCTGAACTTTTTTTCAAAGCAATCGTACTGCTTTAACTGCATAGAGATGAAATGTCAAAGCGCGTAAGCGCCGCGTCGCCGTCTAACGGATAAACATTGGTACGGAACCCATAGGAATGTAAACAAAATTCATACTTATTGTAAAAATCTCTATAAAATATCTGATAATTTGATGTGCATATGTCTAATGATCATTTTTGACCGCCAAATGGCTTTTTGTTTTACTTTTTTCATTAGATCTCCGAAACCGTTAGACCTGCCTTCATGAAAATTTGAACAATTCTTCATCTTGTCAATACAAGTAAAATATTTTTCGAAATTTTAAATCCTCCTTTCTCTTAAAAACCGTGTTACCGATTTGGCACTTTTTGCCCCGTATCTTCGTAACGGCTAGAGCTGCCTCCACCAAAAACTAATCAGCACGTCTCCTTATCAGTACGAATCCAATGTTTTTTAAATTATTTAAATCGGTTGATCGGTGTTCTCGAAATCGTCGACGAAAATTTGTATCCGAATACACACACACATACATCCATTTTATCTAAGGTATGCCAAAATATTCAGAAACCTTTGAAACGTCGAGAAATACAAAAATTTTCATTTTCGATTTTTTTGCGATTACTATAACTTACCTTACGGGAAGTTAATTAGGTTTGCTCTTTGTATGACAAGTGTAATGATGGCATATTGGAACCTAAAGAAGCAAATGGACAATTTACTTTGTTTACGCCTAAGTAGATGGTAGTTATCTAACAATTCAATTATGATCAATAATATTTCAAATATTCTACATTAATAACTCAACAGAATCATTTATATCGATTTAATTATATAAATCATTTAAAGTTTCAAAATGCCTTTGTTTATTAACATTCCGTAGGATAAGTTAGTTATATTTTTACGTTTCAAAGCCTTCTGAAAATTTTGGTATTCATCAGAAAGAATGTATGTATATCTGTGTATGTGTGTTGGGATACAAATTTTATTCCACGATTTCGAGAAATCGGTTGATCGATTAGAATGATTCAAAAAACATTCGGTTCGTACTGACTGCAAGAGTACCGGTTACTTTTTGCGGAAAGTAGATGCATCATTTTCTCAAAACTCAAAATTTTCAAAAGAATTCAAAAATTTAAAACCAAAAATACAAAGTTTATGAAAAGTTAAGAATTCAAAATTAAAATGCTCACATTAAAAAAAATATATCTTAAATTAATTTCTACTTTTTTTTTTAGTTTAAAATTTTTGTAAGTTTGCTTATATAATGGAAATGCGTTATTCTAAATAATTCTAAGAATACTTATCTAAGAATAAGTGTATAAACGGCCCTTGAATGGATTCATTCAAACTGAGTTTGAGCGATTAATTTCTGTTTACATATGTTAACAAACTTAAGTACTTTTTTTGGCTTGTCGCTATTGCAATGACCATACATGCAATATAAAAATAAATATTTAAAACAGTCTTATATATTTCTATTTATTCTGCAATCTGTTTTATTTAAAATTTGAAACAATCGTTGATAAATTTTCATTGATTACTGATTATTTTTAGAAAGCTTCAGCAATTTGCAATCGGGCACTAGTCTCTTTGTAGTAATGAAACTTCTTGAAACATATACCATGAAGGGTATAAATGCAATAACTGATATTATTTTTACAATTATTCATATGACATTGAAATTAAAATCTAAAAACACGTCGTTAGCTGTAATTTTACGTGCAAATACGTGGGTGCTGCCGGACACTTTTATTGAGTATTGTACTAAAGTACTGTTAAAACTATTAAAAATTAATATATTTTGTTATTTGACAATATCTATCAGTTTATTTAATAGCTATAATTAGTTTTGTAAAACTTAAAAACACAATAAGCATGTTTTCTTAGAGACCAATCATTTTGACTGGTATTGGTAGAAATAGGTATATTCAAATGGCTGGTGGTAATATCTAGTGTTAAATATGATTGTACTCAACTCAATTTCATTAACTTAAATAGGTTTTACTTAAACATATGAAATGAATTAAATAGAAATATAATGTTTGTAATACGTACTAGTTGCACGATGCTGTCGACCGCACGATTGTATTTATCACAGAGAGATTTCATGCTAGCGTAAGACCTGGTGTCATAGTCGCTGAGCACGTTGTTCTCAAGAGCACCTTTCATCTCGGGCAGATCTTCACAGACCCATCTGAAGAAATAAATAAGTATGAATAAGTCATCATAACATTTCATATTATATTATATACATTTGAAGTGGACAGCATTTGTTTCTTAGAAAATATAAGAAGAGAACTTTATTTTTATTTATTTTTATTTCGATTCTAATTTATATTGGTTCAAGCAGATATGTTACAGTTTCTCTTGGAAATGATCACATAAGTGGCCACTTTTGCCCTTGATTGAGTTATTGGCTTTCGACTTTCAATGGACCATCCTCTTGTTTAAAACTTAAAATTCCTATGTCATATTTGGTGTATTTTTATAAGTACTCTTTCTTATATCAGCAATTTGAATTGATATCGTCAATTCTTACCAAAATAGTTCATCTGCATAAAATGATTTATAAATGTAATTCGTAAAAATTGTCAAATGAGTACTGATGTTTGATAAAGTTGGATGTCGTTATTTAATTTATAAATATTTAAAAGGTATAGAAATTAAGCTAAATATTACTAGTCGTTATAATAAATAATTAATAATTATATATCCTACTATTAAATTAATAATTAGTTATTATATTACAATATATCCTACGGATTTATTGTGTGATGTGTTATATACAGCTCATAAAATAGGAGATTCACTCTATTAGACAAAATAACTTTCTTTGTATATTCATGTCATTTGCAAATAAATTTCCTTTGAGAGCTTACGAATGCAATTTAAGATTTATTTAATCATATGCTAATAAACTGCATACATGCCAATTAGAACAAATAATGCATTAAGCAATACATAAAAAATAAACTTACGCAATATAATATTTGTTACGTCAATTCAGGTAACGATATAAAAAAATCTAAAGAAATAAGATTATTTTAATTTAAATTGTTTTCCATAGTCGATTATTGGAGCAATTACTACAATTTGTTTTTTTCCTTTTTATTTTTTTAAATTTATTTTTAATTCATTTTTATTTATTTACTAGATGACCCGATAGAAGTTGTCTTGTACCCATGTCTACAATTTTTTAATATACTGTATCTTATATTATTTTAATTTCTGGCACATCTCAGCTGCTTTTTAGCAATAATAATGTAGACATTTCATTTTTCTTATTCATAATCATAAATTTTATACATATTCTAACATTGTCTAGGTTCATAAATAAATTGAAATTTTTGGCAGATGATAGTTTTCATTTGTTTTTAATGCAAACAATAACATGTCGTTTTTTGTAATTTTTCCGATTTATTTCTACAATATTGCACATACATCCCAGTACTTTATAATCACATACATCCTACAAAATTTCCTTAACAAACTTCAGAAAGATTTATCAAAATCCGAATAAAAGTTTAGGAGGAGTAAACAGTGAGTGCTTGTAATTTAATATGAACTTTATATAATAGCAATAAAGCTCAAATTGATTTTACGTTTTAGTTGGAAAACATTTGTATGTGAAAAAGAAAAGGGCTGTTTTTAGGGTTTTCCCGGCAATTATTCGATTTTTTCTAGCCGTAAGAACCATCCTTGGACTTTATCGAATATTTTAAAAAAATAACTGGTCAAATTGGTCCAGGCGTTGTTGAGTTATGTGCTTACCAACACATTTTTATATATAAGATTTATTATTATTATTATTTTTTTTTTCTGTAATTATTATTTTTTATTATTTTTTTATAATATAAATGAATAAAAAAAAATACTATTTATACTCACCGTATTGTTTCCACGATTTCGATGGCTCCGTCATGCTTATCCTGAAAATAAAAAAAAAATTAATTTCAAATATATAAAGTAATTTAGTACAAATTATATGAATCAATTGGTGCTATCATTCGATCAAATTTCATGTTATCTTCATAGAAGAAGAAATGAAAGATGTATCTAATATTACTATTCAATTACAGCAAAAAATTCACATACATTTCTGAAATATCTTTAGTCTAAACAAAAGCATATGGTGATTCATTAACAAATTATGATCATCCAAAAGTCATTAGCAAACGTTATCTGTGTATGATAAAATTTCCGTGGTCGTAGACTTCATTCTAATCAATTATTTATTTTCTGCAGACGGGCAAATTGATAATCGATATTTTCCAAAGGTAATATATTTAGTAGAATATAGATTATATTTTGAAAATGAGAATAGTTCTTGTGAATGCAATAGAGTTTACTAATAAAATCATTTTAAAATAGAGTGCTTTGTCTTTATACTTCACTTTATATAAGATTTTGTAACATACAAAACTCAAATGCAATAATATAATGATTATTATTAATTAATATTAATGATTTTTACTTTTTATAAGATTTAATATATTTATATAAGAAAGAATTGCGCATGGCCATGCAAAATCAAAGTATTTCAACCGTCATAAGGTGTTTAAAATTGTGCATGTAAACATGTCTAAAATAAGAAAACAAATAGTTACTGCTAATTAAAAATCTCTCTGTTTACAAACTTTTCTGCATTCCACATTAATTAAATACAGATTAAAATATTTAAATGAGATATTTTGTAAACATAAATGCATTTAATACCTATAAAAATCGTCATATGAAGAACTCTAATTTATAATTATGGATAAATTTGTCTAATAATTAAAACTGTTCAGACGTTGATCAAAATATAATGAACGAAAAAATCGGATACATTTTTGTCTTTATAAGATTTGGCATGATTGTTATAGCAAGATGCAAATTTGCACAATTGAAAACATACAATATCTCAATATTCATAGCATTTAAATGCATCAGTTACTCTATTCAGTTGCAATAAAAATTATTGCATTCAAAGAGTGATCAAAATGTATAATAATCAAAAATAAAAATTCCGATCATGAAGGTGTCTGCCATTCCGCATGGTATGCCAATTACCTATACAATAGCATTTGTCATTTGTCGATGATTAAAGATCTTTTTAGAATGATGTAACTTATTTATTATGTGCAAAACAATCTAACACGATTTTGTCCTTGAATGTTGCATTAGTGTACAACTGATAACGCGGTTCTATTCCGAAGCGACCTTGGCGAATAGCTCACTGCCAACCGACTAAACCTTTTCATCGGGAAATGCTTTGAACCAGTAGAGGTACATTTTTTCCGATGAGAGAAAATTTGTTAGAATAATATCATTATTGTAAGATAAAATATGTAAAATTTGTAGTTTAATTCGTTTTTGCCCATCAATTAGAACTAAAAATTCTATGAGACTTATCCTCGACCAAAGGCTAACCATTGATTGTCCTATCTATTATCTACAGAAGGCAACCCAGGGATTATCTCTTTGATT